GTTTCAAGATATTTCATTAGATCTCAATGTATTAAAAAAAATTATAAAGTAGAAAACACATGAGGGATTAAAAGATAAGTAGTAGACTGCAAGATTGGGGGGGGGGGAGGGATCAAATTTTACAATTTCATTATTACTTGCTTTTATATAAGTGATGAAAAAAATCTCTTGAAATATTAGTTTATATACAGTTATATATAATGAAATCAGATATGTACAAAGTAAATGGCTATCACTGGAGATTTACATTTTCTTAACTCTTCAATAGCAGACTAGAAGGGGACATAATTCCAATATTATGAATGGTCAAAGACCTTGTAAAACTTGACCACAAAAACTTCTTCAGAATCAACACGGAAACAAATCCAGAGAGGACAAAGTGAATTAAGGGCAGTTCTGCATTTAGAACTGAGAAGAACAGATACTTCTTTACAGAAAGGGTTGTCAGAGTATGGAGAAAGCTACCCAGCCTCGTTGAAACCATTGCTTTTCTGAGAAATGACATAATGAGATAAGATCTTTAGCGTACTCACAGTGGGTTGAGAAAAGTTTAACACCTTTTCAAAAGTAAGAGTTTGTGGCCTAAAAGTCTAAAGTCAAGATCAATTGAATCAGAACTTACCGTATTTTACCTGTATTTACCCATTGTAAGACAATCACCAAGTGAAAAACAAATGCTCAAACATTCTTAAAAGTAATTACAAATAAAAACCTTGAAAAATAGGTTGGATATTTAAACATGTACTGTGACACACCCAGGTAGTAAAGTGCTGTAACCTGTGATATTTTAAAGATGCGGGTCTAGGTAAATGCACACAAACGTAGAATTAAGGCCCATGTCCAGTCATTTAATTCACCCTCAGCTGAGATTGTACACTGGAGGATTTCCCTGCCATCTCTTCCATCCCTATACCTGGAATGTATAGGGTATTTGTGTGCAAGGGTCTTCTAAGGGACAAGGGGTTGTGATTTTAAAACTAGTAGGAACTTTGTGGAAACATTTTATGTGCCTCCATCACGTTTTGGGTAGTGCTTTATCATGCAGCATAACAATGACCCAAAACATATGGACAAGTCCAACAAAGTATGCCATCAGTAGAAAAGGATGGCAGAACTTTGACTTGTCTTGTCCATTTCCACATTTAAATCAATCCAGCTTCATTTTCCAGCTTCACTCCTAACACAAACCAGGATATCACAGATTGGATCAATCTGGACACCTCCAGTAATGGAGAGCTCAACACTCAGTACCTCTTTGTCTGCAACCTCAAGGGTGGGGGACTCGTATGGAGTGGGGATCTAGCTGAAGATCACCTGTCAGTCCGCTGAAGATGACCAACCAATGAGGAGCTGGAGGATTGGAGAAGAACATGACACTTGATGACCTCGCAACCAGTCACCAGCTGTGATCATGGGACTAAAAAGGTATTGCGCAGCAAGGAACGCTTGCTCACTCTGTCTGCTCTTGAAACCTTACAACCTGATGAGCGCATCAATCACGTGACTGCATCTACTGTAGCATCAAGAACTCGGAGAGTCTGCATTATCCAATGTGGATGGAGCAAAGTTTCTCAAATGATTATGGTGAACGCAGTGGGTCACATATCTCATGCAGTTATTGCCTCAAGAGGATGTGCAACCAAATACTCCATTTTACATTGAATATATACCAATATGTATAGTAAATTGAAATTACTGGGATGGAAAATGTTTTTTTTGTTGTTGTTGTAATTTGATCAAATATATGCATAGGTACCCAAAATTAAAACCTACTGTTATGGCTGTTGAGATGTCATAAGTCAACATTTGCAGTTCTCTAGACCTAAAAGCTATGAGTAGAAACCAAGGGGTTTACTGAACTGTGGGTGGTATAAAGACAGTAATGAACTAGAGTAATTTATTATGTTTAAGGGGATTTTCTGGGAAGAGTACATGTTCAACACCCAGGAAGACACAAGATAGAGAAGAGACAAGAGGAAGACACAACCCCGCAAGGCGAGTGGACCTTGTTGTGATCAACGTGAAAGACCACTGTTTAAAAGAAAGTATTTAAATCTTGTTTAAAAGAGCTAACTGTTCTTTTTTTGGGGAAACTCCAATCATGTGTTTGATTTCCTTTATGAGGAATCCACAGGTTAAAGATGTTCTGTCAAGGTTAGTCATGCATTTTTAAAGTGGGGGAGATTCCCATTCAATTTGAGGCATCATTTGTTAGGAAAGGAGACTTAGCTCTGTCATGTTTTATTTATGATGCAGGTTTCTCTCTATTTTTATTTTGGCCTGTTGGGTATTATATAGACTGTCCGCATTAGACTGCTAACCCAGTACGTTTCAGTGGATGTCAGAAAGTAGGCCACAAAGATCCTTTGTAAGTATTGTTATGTTTTATCTATGTAACATTGTGCTATCTAGTTATCATTAATAAATATGTTTATCCTAGTTTGCCTCCGTTTCATTACTCTTTCACCAGAGTTGTGCCAGAGAATGGCTATAGGTTACAGGTGCCTAAAAATTGTACAAACCACTTGGGTGTATTCATGGCATATTTTTTATATAACTAACAATTGGGGGTTATAATTATTCATCAACATTTTATAACCACTTACTCCTGGTGACGGTCGCTGTGGTAAACAGTCTGAGCAGGGCAGACCAGACCTCCTTTTCCCCAGCATCATCTCCAGCTCCTCCTGGGGGATTCCCAGGTGCTCTCAAGCCCAGAAGATAATCCCTTCACCATGTCCTGGGTCTGACCCGGGCTCTCTTCAATGTGGGCCATGCCCAACACATGATACTATCAGGTTTCGTGTCGACTCCAAAATGTTTATGTCACCCATTAGACTGAACTGTCTATGGAAGAGAGTTCGTAACTTAAGAGTGATTGGATGAGTTAGTTGCAAGAGTTGTGCATGAGAGATGAGACTATGGAAGGCCTGAAGGTGGAAAGAGTTTATTCCAAGCCTCAGGAATGTTGAATATATCATTAAAGAAGCCAAAATGTACTCCAACTCAGTGTGTAGAGCAACTATACTTGTTTTGTTGTAGTCCAGTACTATGTCTGTGCTAGGTAAAAACTTTTTGTAATGATTAGCTATTTTAGAGATACATTTGTTTTGTCGGTTAAATGCAGAGTTTGATTAAAAATGAGTGCTTGCCTGAACTTAGTGCACACCAGAGGGAGGAGTTATTTCAAAGACCCTGTATAAGTGAAGTCTGCGCTAAGCTCCAGTAGAAGGACAGTCTATGCCTTTGCTGGATTAAATCAATCTAATGCTTTTTTGGCTGCTTTATGCTGTTGTCCCCTTTTCACTGGCTGTCTCTAAAAGTTTTTTCAACAGGAGAAGCTGGTTGAAGAAATATATAAACTTTATTAAAAAAATAGAAAGTGTATAAACTAGCCTTCCTGGACTGTGCTTTTTCCCATTAACCTAACCATTGTGTTATTCACACTGCATAAAGAATTTCAGCCCCTTGGGTATGCCATAACAGTTTTTTTTTAAATATAAAAATAAACAATTCAGAACACTCTAGTCTCTCCTCCAAGACTCTTCTCAGTCCTCTCTGAGACTTCCAGAAGCACTCTTCCATAATTCTCAAATCAAAAACTTACAGTTTATTTGTCAGTTACTTCCTACTCCCAGTTGAATGTGTATTGCAAAGGATCTGCTCTATAGCTCCAAACAGCAAACTGGCCAACACAGAAAGCCTCTGCTTCCTGGTTTTTTAACAATTGTCTTTGAGCATCTGGTCAGGTGACTGAGAGTGGCAGCTCATTCCCCCAGAGGTTTCTGGGGAATTTGATCTAGACAGGGCTGCATTCTCGCAAAAGGTAAAAGTATTTTTTTTCTCACTCCAATTTAAAATACCTGGTAACACACAAGTTGTGGTTAGGACGGGGCACTGACCAGTCATATAACCCAGTTCCCTTGTTTTCCAAAATGGAACTTAAAAGGCTAGCAAATATGTATTTACAATCCTAACAAATGAACAAACTATTATTTACAAAGACAGAGTTCCTAAGCTCAAGCCTGCTTAAATCTGTCCTCAATCAGCCCCTCAATTACAATTACAATTGTAATTGTACAATTGCAGACCAGCCTTACTTCACACTAACAGAAACCCAGTAACATATGTAGGTAATGTTATTTACGGTGTCTTTACAGAAAAATGACCTTCCATAGGACAGTATACTCTCTTAAACTGCTGCGAAAGCTTGAGAACTATTTTTCATACCCGTACTTCCTTGCACGTACTGAAAGGAAATAATCATTCCTCAGATATAAAAGATTGAGGTCCTTGCCCTTGAATGTAATTCTGGTCACTTTCAAGTTCAGAAATATCCAATGCCATCTACAAAGAGCCAGCCAAAATGCTATGGATTTGATGACAGGGCTTCTTTTGTTTTTTAGAATGAAAAAAGACCGATCTAGCAGTTAATTGCGGCTAATCCTACTTTTGATATATTAAGCAGGTCTTCAGAACCAGTCGTTCACCAATTAGCTCAATTGATTTGTTACCTTGTCTGGGCATCTTCAAAATTGTGCCTGCCCTCTTGTTACATTTTGTCATTGTTACATTTTGTCCCTTTCTCTCTTATATAAGATAAGATCACTTTATTAGCCATATACAATTTCTTGCATTAGGAATTTGTCTTTTCACATACCTCAGCTTGCTCTCCATGAGACAAACAAACAGGGGGAGAGAGAGAGAAGCTTGGGGTCAAAGCACAGGGTCAGCCATTGTACAGCACCCCTGGAGCAGCTGGGGTTAAGGGCCTTGCTCAGGGGCCCAACAGAGTAGGATTCCTCTGCCAGCCATGGGATTTGAACTGGCAGCCTTCCAGCTACAGGCGCAGATCCTTAGCTACAGAGCCACTGCTCTGCCCAACCGCTCTTATGAGTTGGGGTGTGGGAGGAGGGGGATATGAACTTTTGTTTAAGAAACTTTTCTGTTTAGTTATTTCTTTGCAGCTATTAATACTTTTCTTTTGCTCTTTTCTTTAGGAGCAGTAGAGAATGGTGCTGTCTTTTGCACTTTGAAGAGGCGTAAGAAACTGCAACACTCTGAAGAGAAATGGAGTTCCAGTGTGAGACAGGAGATGAAGCTCAGTGCTCCAGCATGTGAAGAGAAACCCTCTGAACGTAGGAGTCTACAAAGTGTGAAGAAGCTCAATGGACTGGAATCTGTCCCCACAACAGAGCCAGGGCCTGGGTGTATTTCAGTCAAATCTCGAGAATGGCATCAGAATACAGAAAGGTTCAATAACTTAGAAAATTACAACATCACAGAAGATCTAGATGAACCAGAGTCTGTAATTGCACAAGGACTCAAAAAAGAGGAACTGAATGAACTGGACGACGTTGATATTATAGAACACAACATTGAGTCACCATTGTTTCATCCTGAAGAGCAGCTCCCAGAGCCAAACTGCATTAACGTTAAAGAGGAGGGTGCTTGTGATCTGCATGAGCCCTCTGTTGATTCTCTGTGCGTGAAATCAGAAGCTGACGAATTTGATTGCGTTTATGTTAAGGAGGAGACTGAGTCTGACACTGCCCACAATGAACAGGAAGTAGCAGAGTCACATCATACCCTGCAGGCAGAGTATAAAGAGGACATGCGAAAAGATGAACAGCAGCGATGCCAGAGGACCCATCAGGAGTTAATAATTTTAAGGCCATGTTCAGTGAGAGTGGAAAGACTGCCATTAGAGCACAGACAGCAGGATTCTGGACACCCCACCAGAATAAGTCCACTCTCTTTGAATGAGAACACAACAAAATTCAGTGGAGACCACAGTGGTGACTTTCACACACAGTTTGGACAGAGTGATATTCACTCACTCAGTTTTACAGCACACCAGCACACCCAGAAGGGGGAAACACTGCATTCCTACTCTCAGTGTGAGAAGAATTTTAATCAGTCATCTGTGCTCACAGTGCGTGAACATGTTAATACAGAAGAGAAACCATTTAGTTGCAGTGAGTGTGGAAAGAGTTTTAATTTGTTAAATTACTTGAAAAAGCACCTGCGTGTTCACACAGGAGAAAGACCATTCAATTGTAGTCAGTGTGGGAAGAATTTTAGCCGTTTAAGTGCATTAAAAGACCACCAGCGTGTTCACACAGGAGATCGACCATTTAACTGTAATCAGTGTGGGAAAAGTTTTAGTCACTTAAACAACTTAAAAAAACACCAGCGCATCCACACAGGAGAGAGACCCTTCACCTGCAGTCATTGTGGAAAGAGTTTTAGTCAATCAAGCCAACTGAAAACACACCAGCGCATTCACACAGGAGAGAAACCATTCAGCTGCAATCAGTGTGGAAAGAGTTTTAATTGGTTGAGTTACCTGAAAAAGCATCAGCGTATCCACACAGGGGAGAGGCCATTTACCTGTAGTCAGTGTGGGAAGAGTTTTAGCCGGTTTAGCATCTTAAAAAAACACCAGTACATTCACACAGGAGAGAGACCATTCAGTTGCAGTGAGTGTGAAAAGAGTTTTAGTCACCCATGTGAGCTAAAAATACACCAGCGCATTCACACAGGAGAGAGGCCATTCAGCTGCAGTCAGTGTGGAAAGAGTTTTCGCCAGATAAGCGCCTTAAAATATCATGAGCCCATTCACACAGGAGAGAGACCTTTCAGCTGCAGTCAGTGTGGAAAGAGTTTTAGTCACCTAAACAACTTAAAAAAGCATCAGCGTATTCATACAGGGGTGAGACCATTCAGTTGCAGTCAGTGTGGGAAGAGTTTTAATTGGTCAAGCAACTTAAAATGCCACCAACGCATTCACACTGGAGAGACACCATTCAATCCAAACTATACAGTGAACACAGAATCCCCACATTAATTCCATGTCACAATTTTTTCAAACATTCCTAAATCCACTTTATATAGAGTTTGAAAGTCTATAACATAGCGTGCCACTATCATTAGACTGAGAGTTTGTAAGAGTTTCAGCTGTAAAGCTTTTGAAATCATAGTTACCCCAAGATTAATTTCCTGTGCTTTTACTTTATTAATAATATGCAATGTTTTTTGCCTATTATGATTTTTCTTTGGTTCCTGAACATATTAATGCCATTTATGTTATATTCAACTCCATTACTGTTAACTCCATTTTAGTGATCCCTTTGATATCAACATTACCTACCTAATATTATCTAGTAGGTTTCACTATATGTAATTTTATTCCAAACAAGTTTGAAATTACAGTATGTATTTCAGAATTCAGTTTATTGAATGTTTCTTGTTTTAATGTATACTGTATTTAAACTAATTCACAAAGTTCACAAGGTCCTATGTAGATTAGTTCATTTCCATTATAGGAACAGTTTAATATTGTTTTTAAAATAGACAATTTTATGGTTGAAGTGGATCTGAATTATAAAGAACTTTATTGTGGAATACAAACTCCATGAATGTACACTGAGCATCAACAGAATCAGGACTTAATAGCCTAAAATGCCCTTTTATGGCAAATACACTGTCATTTTATGGAATAGACATACCCTGGGCAAATTCATTATACTCATTAACATTTGTCATCAGTGCAGCAGTTAACAGCGGGGTCTGCTGTGAAAATCATAAGCTAGTAGCTTGTAGCCATCATTGAAAGAAATACCACTGTACATTTGCAAATCAGCTTTGCACCAGGTTATAGATGCCTTGTGGTGGGAACCGATCAAGCATGTGTCTGTTCACCTGTCCCTGAGACCTTCATGCCACACTCAGCTCTGCTTATGCCACAATTGTTCAGTCAGGAAGTAGAGCATCCATTGTTACATCTGGGCCTCCCAGTGCTCACAGCTCCAGATGCAGAGTCAAACTCTCAGTGCCAGGAGAACTAGATCGGGGATTTGTGCTGTGTAGTGGAATTATGCAGTAGCTATATAATCCTGAAGAGGCCATTACTTGGACCTTTTCATTATTCTTGGCATATTGTTGTAGCTCTATCCACTTTCTCTTACAACTAGAATTAGGGCTTATGTAGCACTAAAATGGAGAAAATCCCTTGTTTATATCACAATATGTTATGAATAATCCATTAATCCATTCTGAATAAATAACATTTAACCAATATCCGGAATCCATATTCTCTGTTTTCTCAAATGCATTTGTGTACACCAAGGTTCTTTTAATGCTCAGTATGTACTTATGTATTAATCATGTTGTAGAGGGTCTCTGTTTTTGGTTTCATGTTGTGATGCCATGAGGGTCATAGTCCTCATGGGATAGTACTTTCACCAAACCATGGTGATTCAAGGTGCACGCCCTTAATGACGGGTCTCTTCTGAGACCAGGCTAGGCATGCGTTGTCAGCATGGTCTCCCAGGTATCTCTCCGATGGAGGTGCCTGGTGCAATCAAGACATCTACAAGGACGGGAGGCAAGGACCTGTCCTAATGTCCGTCTCAGCTCTCAAAGCCCTGAGTCAGCACAGCCACCAGGAGTGGTCCCAGTCAGAGTCCAGAAACAAAGATCCTCAGGGAGACCAGGCTAACAGGGGAATGCTCTCCTGACAGAGAGGACTGGCCAAGGATGGAACAGTGTCTCTGCTGAGACACGGAGAGGAGACTGGAAAAACAGGGAGAACAGGACAGAGCAGAACCCAAACAGCCTGAGAAGCAGGAATGTGAGGAAAGCGAAAGAGCCCTGAACTGTGGAAGGAAGCTGCCCCGAAGAAAAGACGGAAGGGCAACAAGAACAACACAGGGAACAGAAAAAGGTGAAAAGGGACAGGGCATACAGGGAACAGACCTGGGCTGTGGGCAAGGAGGTGAGGTAACTGCACAGATAGAGCCTCTGTACAGTCCAGCTCACAAGGTTGCAGTGATCAGGGACAGGGTCTGAGTAGATTTCAGATGTCTGGAGCAGAGTGCATGCAGGCTGCCATGATCTGGGGCAGCGTGCGAGCAGGCAATTGTATCCTGGAGCCAGGTGCGAGCAGGCTGCTGCCAAGATCTGGGGCAGGGGGCGAGCAGATAGGTATATTCTGAAGCAGGGTGAGATCAGACAACAGTAATCTTGAGTAGACTAGGTGCAGACGAGTATATTCTGGAGCAGGGTGAAAGCAGATTGCAGTAATCTGAGCAGACTGCGATTAGACTGCCTCAGCAGCAAGAAGGGATCTCTACCCTGGCAAGACAGCCCGTCGCAGATTTGAGCAGTCTCAGTTACAGTGCAGGATCCCATCCCGGGCTTCCAGAGTAGAACAGGACAATTGACTTTGGAGGAGTATCCTGGCACTGAGAACCACAGGCAGGAATGCAGACGGGCTTGGGGATCCAGAGTGAGACGAACACCTGGAGAGGCTGCTGAAGCTACTACTGCAAGGGAAAAACAAGTGCATATGCGGAACGGGACAGGAGTGAAAAGATCATGACGGAGCCCCATTGATGCGGGGCTCTGGCTTTAAATAGATAGTTACAGAGAAAATGCAGATCACCTGTAGTAAATCTGAATTATGCAGTGAGGCCTGGAAAACTGTAAGCCCTCATGAAAATGAGATGGTTTCCAGGGCAACCGCTAGGCGAAAGATGCTGTGCAGGACGTGATTGTGACGCAACATTATTTAGTTTTTAGTTGATGTCTTTTTTTATTAATGAATTAAAGGATACCATTTTACTCTATCAGTGAGTATCAGGGTGTGTCTGGGAATGAGGACCCACCTACTGTATTTAATTTGCGTGACTTGAGGTGACCATGCCCTTGTGGCATCACAGCCTGTACCATAGATGGCATTTCAAAGGGAACTTTAATTTGAGGTCTTTTTAACATATTTTCATGTTTTCATCTTTGCAATTGTCATTCATTCTGGTAATCTTGTTAGCATTTCAGTTTCTAACACATTTTGTGTTTTAGTTTTTAGTCCACCCTCAATTAATAGACATCTGATGGTGTCAGAGGTATTTATGGAACTGTTCATGTTTTGTGTAGGTATATAGTTATTGTGTTTGAATTTATTTTTATATTAAACTCCTAAGTTTTAAACAGTACCACTGTTCTTGCTCTCCTTTAGAAGTGTAGGTGTGTGCGTATTTAGATATTTAATAATATTGCACTGGTCAAAATGTTTGTAAAAGCATTCTGCTTCTAAGTACTGTTTATCCAATTGTATTGCATATTAATTGGATAAAGTATGAGTAGTATAACATTGTCTGTGCTTTTATAATCAGTTGCATGATATTTAAAACTGACCTCCCTCTCAGAACACAGCTGGTGACAATTCTGCACTGTACCAAAGCCGATGAAATTAATATTAATACTTCAGAAGAGAGAAGTCTGCTGGGTTTCTTACAAACTGTTTATGTGCACAAAATCCCTGAAAACCCTTGCAGTGCGTAAATTTAACTTAAGACTTTATGTTAAAATACAGTTAATTCACCAGAGTATATCCCCAGAAAATCCCCCTTGGTCAACTGAGTTTACCTATCTGTAAGCTCACCTGCAGCTAGGAGATCATCTAAAATGAAACCCAATGTTCCCTCATGCTTTATTTAGATCTTGAGTTTTGCATGAATTGAATTGCAAACATTATAGATTTGATGTCCCCATCATGCTATAACATTATTTATGTTGTGACAGAACTGCAGAAAAAAAGTTACAGTTCCATCTAAATCCATCTAAGCCCTCATCAAAGTTCAAAAAGATAATAGTTCTCTAGGAGGCTCTGCATGAGGAACTGGAACAAGAAAAACTGTGCATGGGAATTCTAGTGACACATGCTTTATAGGGTAGGGACAATATAAAAGTGTAGCTCTAAAAGGGGAAATGCAATGATATTTTTATATGTTGGGGTTAGATTGAATTGGCATTGATGAGTGCATTTCAAACAACAATGAAAGTCAAATGTACACAGTAATGTGTAAAACCTCCAATTTACATCACAAAATGGCTAAACTTTCAGGTATGTGCAGGGCGTTAATCTGAGATTAAGAATGAAGCTGAACTGGTGACATGATGTTGTAAACAAGCAGGCCTGTGAATACATCTCTTTTAATCCAATAAAAATATTGCTCTCAATTTCGAGACAGTTTTACATGACATTACTACTTGTTAACTCTGCAGGCAGATCACGTTGGCACATTTTTGCAGTGAAACATCTGCTGCACAACCTGTACTTATTTACATCACATTACATTTATCATTATGGTGACTAGTGAGCAGGAAGGGCCAATTCATGTTGCAATTCTTGCAAACTCTTGCTCTCGCCCTAGTGGCGAGACCAGGAGTTTGTGACACAAAGGTGCTTCGTTCAGAATTTGTAAATTTGTAAAAATTTACAATACTGTTAATTTATTTTGTTACAGAGGTTTCAAAACTAGTCTGAGGCATTGGAACTGTAGTTCCCCTTTACTGAATTCCAATCAGTGATAGAAAGGAATGTCATTAAGAAACTTGTCCCTTAAGGCTCCCTTGTCCTTACTAAAGGAGACACGTTGCCAAAATCACTACCTTGGTAAGGGCAAACATGCCACAATATTTATTTTCAATCAATAATTTGTTTATTATGTTACACGCAGAATAAAGTAATATAATAGGAACAAACTGGAATTTCAAACTGAATAACAATTCAAAAATAAACCACTTAATTTGATCCTGATTTCTTATCCATATTTCTATATTACCATCTCATTATCTCGTAAGATGTACAGTACATGACACATCACTTACAAATTCTTCACCTAGATTGTATACAGTATATCTGAGCCTCTCTGGGCATCGGATTTTGACATGTTCCCCAAACCTAAAGGTATGAGGGGGAAAAAATCAAGACCGTTGATCAAAGCTCTTGCAGTTAAATGAGATTCCACAATACTTCGTGACAACTTTTGATATGACCGAATCAGTTTTGCATAAAATTACCGTGTGGTGCACCACGCCACCCAGCCCCATAGAGTTATTGAAAAAAAAAAATTCAGATAAGATGACAAAACCTCCCGTACTAAACCTGCCTTGGGCCCCAAAAATTCAGCGCTGAGCTTAAAAATGGGCAAAGTAGTGTGTGAATGTTAACCCTAACTCTACCTGGGGTGTAAACTGAGCATTTCGCGATCTGTAAATGAGCCTCTCTGGACATCGGATTTTGATATGTTCTTCAAAACTAAAGGTATGAGGGGTAAACAATCAAGACTGTTGATCAAAGCTCTTGCAATGAAATGAGATTCAATAATGCTTGGTGACAACTCAGGATCCGACCAACTCAGTTTCGGGATAAAACTACCGCATGGTGCATCGCGCCACCCAGGACCCAGAGAGTTTCTGAAAATTTTTTTTAGAAAGGACTACAAAACCACCCGTCCTAAACTTGACTTGGGCCCGAAAACCCAGCGCTGAGCTTAAAAATTGTCTAATTAGTATGTGAATGCTAACCCTAACCCTACCTGGGGTGTCAACTGAGCATTTCCACAATCAATATCTGAGCCTCTCTGGGCATCGGATTTTGACATGTTCCCCAAACTAAAAGGTACTGTACTGTATATAAAAAGGGATCAATCAATGTTCCTGGAAGAAACGTATTGTTATAAATGGATAATAATTTTTAAACACTGATAAATCAAGATAATTGGAGAGAATATGAGGAAGATTTACAGCACTATGTATGTCAACTGGAAGTTCTGTCACAGCAAAAGGAACGCAGACAGATTTCTTTGCTTAGCCTCCATATTAGATTAGCTGAAAAACACTTGAAGGATTTTTTGGAAACCTCTGGGTGATGGACAGAGCAACAGAGCAATCTAACCCATTATGTTGGTACCACACTGAAAAGAACCATACTGCACCATATCATTATGGAGTTGCAGAATGAGCACAGCTTTTCTTGTTTGGGCTTCTTATCAGAGAGGCCCCTTTTAGCTGCATTCCTAGCATCCTTCACAGAGGCCTAAGCTGCTGTGTCAAAGATTATTACAAATCTTTAATACCACTTACTTATTTACTGTAATTATATGTCTTATTGCTACATATAGAAGCCTCTGAAAGTTTATTATGTCTCTGGGAAACACAGAGAACAACAAACAGGCCTGAGTGAACCCTATGGGTTCCCAATACTTCTTGACTCTTACCCCTTCCCCTGTCAC